AATGGTGGGCATTGACGGCCAAGATTTGAGCAGATGCATTGCACCATGTCCATGTGCCGAAAACTAAAGTCAGAATGTCCTATGATGCAACCATAAAAGGGCAAGTGGGAACTATGAAGGTTTTCTGTTTTTGTGGTCATTTGAAAAGTGTACATTTTAGGGTTATGTAAAGTGGATTTTGGGGTAAAGGATCACATGAGTTTACACCTAGATCCCACACAACGAGAATAGGGGCGGGAGTAGGAGTAAAAGCAGAAACGCAAAACCGTTAACATTAAAAAAAAAAAAAATTGATAGCGAGAGAGCTTTAAGAACGTCACATTATATGCATACAAACAAAGAGACGTACATTCATCCCCCTTTGTTTCTGTGGATCATGTGTGAATTTCCACTTGACAAGTCTACATTGTTGTGTGCATGCTATGCTCCCTGGAGCATAAACCATCAACCTTACTGATTTTGGTTTCCTCCTTTCTGAAACTATCTTGAAACCACTTAGGAAGGAAATGCTATTGGATTGCCTTCATAGTAAATGAGTGAAATTATCAACGTGGCTAATTTATATTTTTATTTATACATTAAATGTTTTCTTTCTTGGGTATATGCTATGCTCCTAATATTTGCAAACTTGTACACATTGATGGTTTAAATAAAAACTCTTAAAAAATCAATCAACGCACGAATGGTTTTCTAAAATTTAATATTATTATTTTTTATTTAAATTAAGTACTGTTATTGATTGGACGGCATTGACACCTATGTAGAAAGACTAGAAGTCTACATCGTCTAAAAATTGTAGAGACCAAAATGAGAAAAACAAAAATGTAAATCGTGAAGAATTTATATCTCTAAAATGAATATATCCAACAAAATTTGAAAAAAAAATGCATAGATTTCGCTAAAACCAATTATCTTTCTAATGTGGGAAAATATAAGCCATTATCTTAATGCCATTTCTAGTTTAAGAGTAACAATTACAGTAATACTCCAGTATCTTATTTGTCCTTTTTGAGAAGGTAAATTTCATTGCTAAATCCACCAGTATCTTAGCTAATATAACATTCACAGGAATTTTAATTCGAAATTAAAATTCATAAGATTTAATAAAGTTGGTTAGGATGAGAAATACTGACAACTACTTTGATTGTAAAAGGCGGATTGAGGAGCTCATACAGTGTGGTCAGTTGAGGCAGTACATTGTTGACAGAGGACAAGCCCCGCCACCCGGCCGGGACCAGGACGACAGAGAACGCCAGCTACACCTCGAAGAAATTCAGACAATCTCTTGAGGGCTAGGAGGAGGAGTCGACTTCAACTCCACTAGAAAAGTCTTAGCCCACCTATGGGACACAGAACAACTAAAGATTTTATCTATCCTTTATTGTTTTAGTTGATTTATTTTGTTATTTATTATTTTATGAAGTAAAACTCTGCGAAAATTATTGTGTCCATAAATATCTTGCTTTCATTTCATAAAGTTTGTAAACAGTTTTATAAAAGTCAGAACATGAACTAATAACAAGACAAAAAAGACAACCGTTGTCATACTTCATGTGGGACAAAGGTCAGTTACTGACCTCTAGCAAAGCAACAGAGAGGCACCGCCCACAACAAACCTCAAGGCGTCGCCTACCAAAGCAGTCTCCAAGCAGCCTTCAAGCGTCGCCCACCACAACCAGAGCCTGGTGCCGACACCCAAAACCAGCAAAGAGCCGCCCAACTCCTGCTCTCGTGGCCAGCCTAGCGTCGCCTAGTCTGTCCCCTAGCCCTGTGTCGCCTCAGCTGCTCCCTTGCGTGAGCGTCAGCGACCTCGCCTCTGCCCAACGTCCAAGTGCTACCAACCTCTAAGCGGCACCCACAGCAGCCTCCAGCGTTGCCCACAGCATCTCAGGCACGCCAGCAGCACCCCAACAGCGCCCAAGGGTCGCCCAACATCGCTGCCTCACCTCCGTCGCCTGAGAACCTTGTGTCTAACCTCACCATCATGCCTGGCATCGCCACGCCTTTCTTCCTGGTGTCGCCCCTGCCCGGCGCCAAGTTTTACTTAGGTTCACCAAGGCTTCTCTGCTATCATCTCTATCCGTAAAAGGGTGGTGGCCCTTAGCGTGGATTTATCCCCGCACACTCCCGACGATCAGTCACTGTTCCCCGAGCCACTATCATCAAGGTTTTTCCCGTCACCAACTACCCCTGGTGTCTTATACGGGACGAAGTCAGAGAAATCAATAGCTAGGAAAGTTGTCAAGCCTTTCATAACCATCAGTAAATGCATTTGTAGTATTCTCTCAGTAGTCTCCCTCCTCATTTTCAAGGAATAAGCCTCTGCCACGGAAGCCCTCTCCCGAGCTATACGTAGCTTGGCATCAGCTTTGGTAGCCCTCTCGCAGGGCGCTTGCAGCTCTGACTTTGTTCTCGTGCAAACAGTCGCTTTATCAATCTCCAATTTTGTACTCTCTCACGAGTCGCCAAGAAGCTCGGCCTAATATAACCTCTGCTCCCAAGCAATCTATGTATTCAGCTTCGCACTCTCTCGCAAGTTGTCAAGAAGCTCAACCTTATCTTACCTCTGCTCTCAAGAAGTCTATGTATCTAGTTTCGCACTCTCTCGCGAGTCGCCAAGAAGTTCGACCTAATCTTACCTTTGCTCCTAAGGATCCTATGTATTCAGCTTCGTGCTCTCTTGCGAGTCACCACGAAGCTCGGCCTAAACTTACGTCTATTCTCAAACAGTTTATGTATCCAGCTTCTCCCGTTTTCTCCCTATTGGCCAAGAAGCTTGGTCTAATCCTATCTCTACTCCCAAGCAGTCTTAATCTCCAACTTAGTGTCTCTCTCATGAGTCGCCAAAAACTCAGCCTCAAGAGGTGTTACTCTCTCATGAGCCAATCTCAACTGCTCTCAATAACCCCCCGTGCCTATCTCTCTTTTACCAAATGCCTGAATGTCTCTCCAAGCTTGATTGTCCTTAAAAAAGGCAGGAAAAAGCGACAGTCGCCTGTAAGCATTCAAAAAGTAAAACATGAAGGAAAGGAGGCGAGTAAAAAATCAAAGTTGAGAAAAGAGACATACCATAGAAGACTCCATCGCGGTATTGATAATGCCCCTTATACCGAGCCACTACTAGAAGTAGGATAGTTATGTGGAGCTATAGTCCCCGTAGAAGACCGCATTAGAGTCTCAACTCCTACAACTGTACAAGGGCTAGCTCTGGTACACATAGAAGTCCTAGTCTGGAAAGGAATGGGGGCACCACTAGATCCCACTCCCGGGAAGCAACCTGGCCATCGGACCTCAACCGAAAAGCACTGGTGGCTTCAAATATCACCCTCTTGAGAAAAGGGAAAGACACCACTCTAAAAGCGTAGAATGTCATCACCATCGTCATATCAACAGGGCACCTATAATTAGAGACAAGGTTAGTATAAAGAACCAACATCGAGAAAATATTAAGGAGAAAGTAGGATTGAAGAAAGCGAGTTCGCCTCTTACCCATTCGAAAGCCATCATAGTCTCCATCTCTGGAAAAAATCCAAAAATGTCAATTCGTCGCTCATGAATGCCTGACAACTGTCTGCCAGAACGCAGCTTTCCACCACCGTCAGTTTCACTAATTGGTGCTTAAAACTAAAATTTAGAGAGACATAAGTATTTTTTGGAAAAATTTGTTGACCAAACCACCTTTGGCTGTTTGTATGTCGTAGATCTCAAAAAAATACCCAGATTAAAAAAAATGCCTCAAATGGACAACCGAAAGCAAAGTTATGGTCATGCAAAGTTTTACCTTTTTTTCATGATTTTCTGATACACTGGCTAACGCCTCAGCACACTCCTTTCTCCTGGCTATGCCTTGGTCCTCATGACGCCCAGATCATATAGCATCCCTGGAGTCGCCTCTTGTTCCAAGGCAGCACCTAGGCTGCCAAGCGTCTCCCAGGCCAGCCAGCGCCAATGCCCAAGAGGCCCAAGCCTGCTCCAATATGGTTGAAGACGTCGCCACTCGTAGCTTCTTCGCCAGCAATGCATGCACCCAGCCAATAATCGAACCTAAAGGTTGGTGCTCTAGATAAAAAAGGAGTCCAAGTGTAGCGAAAAACCTAATACAGGATTAATGGTTGACACATAGGTAGACACGGTGTCGCCAAATAAGGGAAGAAATTTTTGCAGAATACAAAATGGAAAGCTAAAGACTACTGTGGATAACAAGGAACCCTTATTTATCCAAAGGCTCACTCATGCCCTCAACCCCCTTCTCTCGCAAGCAATCAGGGCTTGGGGCATGGAGGGCAAATGACAAGCTCAAATCCAACTGGATCAGGCTCAATAAATCAAGTAAGTCCATGTTAGCTAAAAGACAGGTCAAGCCCAGCTCACAAATCCGGCTCAGCCCAAGAAATTCAGGAAGATAAGAGCACGTGAGAAAAAGATTATCGGAATACACACCCTCAAAGATCGTAACAATCTGTAATTGTACTTACCTTTTGTAACTATCATCCCCGAAGAATTAGTGTCCTCACACTCGCGTCACTGCCTTACCTCCCCGCCTCATCATATCTATAAACTATAAGCCCTCTCCACATGAGAGGACACATCTTGGTATCTCACAACATCTCTCTACACACATAACTTCTTTCTTTTAGTCATTGTACCTCTCTCGGAGCTTTCTCTCTCTTACTTTATAAATCAATAAATACTCCCTGCCACCATTGTCATTTTCGAAAATGGAGCAAGTCACCCGAATCGAACCACTATATATCTATATGTTGACTCGATATTTACTGTTTTTTTATTAATTATTTTATTTATTGTTCATTAATTATATTTTATCACACACTCAATTGTTAATCTTGTACGACACAATTTTATGAATCACAATGATATTACATACCATTTTGAGTTTTCGCCCTTGAGTTGTGCTCCTTGTTTTGTCCACATAAAGCCGACAAGTGTGTCACATCTTCTGTTTGCGAGCGAATCTTTTTGCTCAATTCTGAGTCTTAGTTCTATTTCGCTTGGGCTACTCCTTAGCCGTTGGCCTCCTTCATTTCTTCTATAGGTACTTCTATGCGCAGGTCATGGATCCAATAAGACCCACTAATTAATGGTTCATATTGAGGTCAACTCAAATGCAACTAAAAAATTACTAGTCAAATACATATAATTTCTCGATGAGTGAGAAAATGACTTTTATTGGAAAGTATGGATTTAATACAGAGTAACTGGTGCATACTTTTTGTATGTTTTTCCTACTTTTATGACACATTTTTAAGCAAAGAAAATGACAGGCAGAGTAAAAAAAAAAAATCTTTTAACCGGAGTACAATTGTACCCACGTGGACCATTAAGGGTATTTTTATTTATCACTATATTTTTGTCTCCATGACTTTAAAAGATTTGCACTTGCATTATTAGTCTAAAAAACTGAAAAGTGAGGATCTACCACCAAATTTTCCTTATTAAAATTCATTGGAACAAAAAAAAAATATCCCAAATATTTTCTAAAATAAAAACTATCTCTACATTATTTTATATACTTTTTAGTGAGGGCAAATTTTAACCTTAGTGCAAGGAACTGTTCAATAATGTTATGGAACTGAAATACAAACAAGCACCTTTGGAAAATATTCGATGTAACAATAACGTGTAGTGCTATAACTAATTATAGAACATTTAGTGGACCTTATTATTTTAATAACTACCCACAATCACCATATCCGATAATGAACACATTGGAATAATTGACGATATTACGACTAATGATATACTATTACCCATCCATTAAATATTTAGTCCCTCAGTTGCGTGCATATGCATATGGTACAGGATAAAAGTGGGAGCATTGTAAATAAATTACTCTCATTGTCCATATGAAGGCAAGAGTTCCGAAACCGACATATTCGAACTATAAGTGATCTTCCAATCTGGTAAGTGATGGTTACTCCTCAAAGTGATACATTGCCTAATTGTAAGGATATCCTTCTAGTTTCGGAAATATCATTGTCATCTCCCGTCAAACTTTGTCATTATATCATTTTCACTCATTTATCCCCATGCTTGTGTATATGATTGGCATGTACAATTATATATATACTCTTGACAAATTTTTAATTCAATTTCATCAATTTTAATTTTAATTTCATCAAATTAACATAAAATTGTCCTTCAATTTCATCAATCAATACCAAATTAACACTCAATTGATGAAATAAGAGTTGTGATAGGTGGTGTTGGTAGAGGCTAACATCAAATTAATATTAAAGTCTATTACTAAAAATTTAATTTTATCAAAAATTGAGCTTCAATTTCATCAAAATTAAAATTTAATTCTATCAAATGGGCATTCAATTTTATCAATTAATTATTTGATTGTGTCAGATTAATATTTAATTTTATCAAATTAATATTAATTTTTATTATCAAATTAATTTTTTTCATCAATTTAAGATTCAATTTTATCAAAATAATACCAAATTTGCCTTTAATTCATCAAAATTCAATTATATCAAATTAATATTTAATTTATCAATTTAATTTCATCCAAATAATATTTAAATTCAACAATGTAACATAATTTTATCAACTTAATATTAAATTTTATCCAATGAACACCAAACTAGCCTTCAACTAATTAACATTCAAGTGATGGTGAGTTATGTTGATGATTTTTGAGAGAGAGAGATGTTTGGGTTTAATATTAGTTTTGTTCAAAAAAGAGAATAAGTGATGTTTGAATATAAAATTAAGGAAGTATAAAAGTATGGAAGTAAGATAATAAGTTATACTTAAAAGGTAAAGTTGTCATTTAAAAAAGTATTTTTGATGACATCATCACTTTTTGCACATGTCAGTAATGTCTCAGATGTTAAAATAATATGTAAAACGAATATGTTTATAATAAAATACCTAACAATTTAAATTTTTATTTCTTATATATATATATATAACATTACGTCAGTTATTTTTATTATATATTTAATAATTTAATATTTGATTAATTTGTAATTTAATATAATTTTTATTTTAGACATTATTCATACACGATAGTATATACATGTTAAAAAAAATTTTCGAATTACATATTTTGATATATTTTTATTGATATTTTTAAGAAAATAATGAAAAAAAATAAATTTTAAATAATGTAATCAAATAAATGAAGAAAAAAATTATTATTTAATATAATAAGTTCGATTTTTTGAACACTTAAATTTTATATTTTACCAGACACGGATTATAACTATTATAAAATAGAGGGGATGATAGTGATATTGTAAAAATTAGAGGGATCTCTCTGTAAATTAGCCGACGAGTATTCGCTAATATTGTTTCATCGTGACACGAAAGTATGTAGAATTATTGTTGCTTTTGAAGAACTTTCTCAAATCTCCATTGACCAAAAACTTACTACTAAACATAGCATTGAACACAGAAACAATAAGAGCTGGAAGACACAGAAGAAAGACTCGCATGTCTGATCCAAAAATGCCCCAACATGCGAGTCCTCCGGCAAATCCATTCTCATCTTCTCACTCACCCACTCCCCATCTCCTCTCTCTCCTTCGCTCTCTCCAAACTTGTCGGCTTTGCTGCTCTTTCTCCCCACGGCGATATCAACTACGCCAAGAAGGTCTTCTATCAAATCGCAGACCCAAACATCTTCTCTTATAATTCCCTCATCAGAGGTCTTTCCCAACTACAAACCCCATCACCAGAACCCATTTTCATCTTCAAAAAACTTGTCAAAAGAAATTACCCAAAATCAAACACTTTCACTTTAGCCTTTGTTCTTAAAGCTTGCTCAATTTTAATGGCCGCTGAAGAAGGCCAACAAGTCCATTCACGTGTAATACGAACTGGGTTTGACTCAAGTCCTTTTGTTCAAACCTCATTGGTTAATTTTTATGGAAAATGTGAAGACATAAAATTAGCTAGAAAGTTGTTTGATGAAATTCCTGAGAGAAATGTAGTTGCTTGGAGTTCAATGATCAGTGGGTATTCTAGAATTGGGATGGTCAATGAGGCATTCGGTTTGTTTAGGGAAATGCAAAAGGCGGGTGTTGACCCGGATGAGGTGACAATGGTTAGTGTGATATCAGCTTGTGCTATGTCTGGCGCATTGGATGTTGGGAGGTGGGTACATGCTTATATAGAGAAGAAGTTTATTGAAAATGATCTTGAGGTTAGTACTGCGCTTGTTAATATGTATGCAAAGTGCGGGCGTATAGAAAAGGCTAGAGAGATTTTTGAGGCAATGACGGTCAAAGATACCAAAGCTTGGAGCTCGATGATGGTTGGGTTCGCGATTCATGGGCTTGTGGATGATGCATTGATGGCCTTTGCTAGGATGGAGGAAGCTCAGGTAATAACTCTTAACTACCTTATGGTAATGCTTTTCTTCAGTAAGAAAGAAATTTCAAAATCAAAATAATACTTGAACACTAAATGATAGAAGTGATCTATATGAAACAGAGTATGTACTAGACTACATGCTATTTTAAGCTTAGAATAAGAGATTAAGTCGAACAAGAAAAGTGATCTATATGAAACTCAGTATGTACATAACAAACTATATATGTATACTAGAATACATGCTATTAAGCTTAGAATAAGAGATTAAGTCGAACAAGAAAAGCTAAAATGTTCGAAAACAAATCTTTCTTTTAAGAACTGTTTGAAAAAAAACAAAAGAAAACTAGTATTTAAAAAAAAGTGTTACCGAATGGTATTTTAGATTAGACACACTTAATGTTATGCGATGTATGACCTTTGCTCGACACACAGGCAGCTTTATTTTTTTCACAGTAGGTTAATATCAAATGTTTGATATATTTTTGGTTTCTTCTTTGGTGTGTATTTGTGCTAACTTGTATCCATGGTCATTTAATGTTCTCAGGTGAAGCCTAACCATGTGGCATTCATTGGTGTTCTATCCGCATGTGCGCATAGTGGACTAGTGTCTGAGGGCCGAAAATACTGGTCAAGCATGCTTGATTCTGGATTTGAACCATCTATGGAGCATTATGGCTGCATGGTTGATCTATTTTGCCGAGCAGATCTAATTGAAGAGGCTTACACATTTGTTGAAACCATGCCTATATCCCCAAATCCAGCAATCTGGAGAACCTTACTCGTGGGGTGCAAGAAAAACAAGATTTTGGACAAAGGTGAGATTGTTGGTGAGCGGCTTCTTAAATTAGAGCCGCTCAATGCAGAAAACTATAGCATTCTAGCCAGTTTGTATGCCTCAGTTTCAGAATGGGTGAAAATGAGCATCGTAAGAAAGCAGATGAAGGATAAAGGCATTAAGGCTGTACCCGGTTGCAGCGCCATCGAAGTTGATGGTTTTGTGCACGAGTTCGTAATGGGTGATTGGTCTCACCCGGAATCAAAGGATATAAGAGAAGTTCTAAGGGACGTCTCTCGTAGGGTCCGTGATGCTGGGCACGAGCCATTTATTTCTGCGGTATTGCACAATGTCGGTGATGAAGAGAAGGAGAATGCTCTTTGTGAGCACAGTGAAAGACTGGCTATTGCTTTTGGCCTGTTGAAAACTAAAGCACCTGTGGTGATTAGGGTGGTAAAAAACCTTAGGGTTTGTGGGGATTGTCATGAAGTGACAAAGATTATCAGTAAATTGTATGAGAGAGAGATCATTGTTAGGGACCGGGTTCGGTTCCACAAATTCGTCAATGGAGCTTGTTCTTGTAGGGAATTTTGGTGAATCCCCAATTGCCCATCTTGTGAGTGTTGTGCATGTTGAGGATGACTGGCCATAAAAAATGTCAGTTTGACTTCAATACCTCCAGAACCTTGAGGTACGAGGCTCCGAATTTTTCTTTCCAATTCAAGGCAGAAAGAAGAGGAAAAACAAACTTCTGTAGAGAACCTTCA